CATACAAAGATAAAATATGAAAAAAGTTAGCAGACTTCAATCAGCATCTCAAGGTTGAGAGTTGTCTTCACGAATGGTACCAGGCTCTTCATTGGTGTTTTATATTCACAAACGACAAAGCAAACAATCAGTAAATAGCATATTTCAAGTCTATGAAAGTAGAAAAGGCTTAAATAGCCAACTCAATATTTCATATAAATGTAGTCACACTAAGTGGCAGCTAAGGAATTCTTCAATATAACTTTTTAACTATTTAAATTTTATAATAATAATAAAAGCATTTATTAGACAAAAACAAACTCCAATATATATTCCCATTTTAGAGTCAATTGTTAAGCCTTATCATAAGATGTAAAACATATTTTACTTCATATTATATGTTTCTGTTTATTATATTTTCCCATTTTAGAGTAAATTGTCAAGCTTTATCATAAGATGTAAAACATGTTTTATTTCATATTATATGTTTCTGATTTATTGAACTAATTTTGATTAAATGTATATAAACAAGTTTTCATTCACTTTCCACTGGGACAAAATTTGACTTTGTTTATTTAAAATTAAATTTGAAATCTAAAAGATGTAGTTTTAGAAATAGTGCATTTCTACTGTTGTTTAATAATGCACAAGTGAATCATTTGACTTTGCATTTTCCTTCTTTGTAAGAAGGGACAGTGAAGAATGTGAGAAGCCAAAATGAATTCTATCAATAACAGCATTTACCATCAAAAGAACACTCTTGGTAAGATTATTTTTCATCATGAATATCAGAAAAGCCATTGACTCATGATGATTTTATGAAACAATTAAAATGGAAAACACAGATCTCATTTTCCTCTAATATATTATGCAACCCAAAAGATCAGGGTTAGTATTCATGTAGTACCTCATTGAAATACCAAGAAATATATGGACATTTGTTTACACTAATTTCACCCTTAATAAGATTATTATAAAAAGTCATTTTAGCATGTTTGACCATTAATTAAGAAAATTTCGTGTAATTATGAATTTCATTGCATGGATTACAGAACATTTAACAAGAATAAAACCAAGCCATATACATGAAAACATTTCTTAAGGGATTTCAAATGTACCTCTTTTATAATATTTATAATAGTAGTGTTTTGCCTCACCATGTTCACATAAATTTTTTGACCTATGATACCTTGTATTTAAACCCCTCCTCAAGTTCTACAACTTAGATGTTTTGCTATATAATATGAATTTGACCTTATGGAACACGATGAGGAAATTTTGCAATTTTAAAATTTTTTTAAGAAGTAAATTCCTTTTTTTTTTGCTGTTTTTAGCACAAACAAATGCTGTTGAAAATCAAAATATTTAGTTACAGATGTTGAATACATTGTATTAAAATATTGGAGCCTCACTAGTTACCATATAATTACTGTACATGTCGCTATCTGATCATATTCTATCTGACCATCTAGCATCTTGATAATAGCCCTGCAGCTCAGTTTCCACTGTAAAAGACTCCAACATAAGGTCTTTATGCCAAAAACACACCCTTCTTTCCTATAATTACCATAATCCATGTAATGCCCATTTCAGCAGTCCGATCACACAGAAATCCACAGGTGCTGCATCTGGTGGCTTCACTGGAATGTCTTCATATGGAATAGCATATATTCCTGTTTTATTTTCCAGCTGCTTGAGGTATACAATGGTTAAACTGTGTACATTTAACTTTTTCAAATTGAGATCCTTCTTGATTATGCCACATAGTGTTGCCTAGGGCATGTGGACAGCTCTTGCCACTGACCTTTGTGTTTGTGGATTCTCACCTGTTAAAAGATGCACCACTTTGTCTACCATGGCTTGGATACAACTTATTGCAAGTCTCTTTCTGGATGTTACTGGTGTCCCAAATTGATCCATATTCTTTTTGTTTTCCAATGCCATTAAGTACAAAGGCTATCCCCTTCTTGGAAATTCGAAATCCCAGATATGAACACATCTTTATAATCTGAGAGTAAGAATATTTTGTGTTTAAAAAAAAAGCTGTTGCATATCCTTCCCAAAAGTGATCCTTTTTGATGGCATTATGCTATCTAAGAAATATCAAGCAGTGTCAAAATGTAGGTTGATACATGCCATTCCTATATCGTCTGTTATTGTTTGTAACATACCTAGTTGTATAATCAAATTTGTTTTAATATAGTATACTCATCTTATGTTGGTAACACAGTCAAATAAAAAAAAGAGAGTTTGACACCACTAGAAAGGACATTCAAACATGTGGTGTTGAAACTGCTATGGATCAGATCGAGTGGATGCAGAGGATCCATAAAGCCAACCCTACAATCAAATGGGACAAATACTAAGATGATGATGATGATGATAATGTAATCAATGTTCTGTAAATACATAATCTACAATGTGCTAAAATGACTTTTTATAATCATGTTATTTGCTTAAGCAAAGGTTTATTTTGGATTCATCACCACCCTCTACAGGCAAAATATAATTGTATGCCATTTTGTTTCTGTTCACACTATTAACCTAAAACTGATATAAAAAAAATTCAATGAGATGATAATTTTTACTTTAATACTAAATCTGATAAGGATTTTTGGTCACTAAGATTGCCAATTCTCCTTTAAATATTTGCAATACAAATTATGTATTATACTAACGATAAATAATTGGCAAAACTTGACAGCAACATCTAAAGTAAATTAGCATGATGGTATGATAAAAATCTCTTCACAACAAAAATAAAGTTTGGCATGAAATAACACAAGCTAATTCATGTAAACTGCTGGACTCATGTTTAGCAATCAGAAATCAGGTTTAAATTTAAACTTCATTACATTGTTTAATACAAAATTTTTTCCATAACTGAGTTCAGTCTTTTGTTGTTTTTTCTTTTCTGTTCAAATAAACATCTTTCGACCTTCACATTATTGAAAATTGGTAGAAAGAATAAAATGTGGCACCTTGTAAATATAAAAGTATTCACATATTTTAACTGTTTTTTTCTTTAGAAGTTTCATGCAGTTACACAAATTGTATTTACACTTAGCCATATTTAACTTTAAACTGATAGACTGGAGGGAAGGCTTCACCATTAAATTTCATAGGAAAAACATATACAGTGAAAATTACTGTTTTTTAAACATGTAATCCACAAGAAGCTAGGCACTCTAAAAAACCTCATAAATCAAAAAAGTTGCACATTTAATGTTTACTAACATAAACTAGTTTCTTACAAATGCAGCTACAGAAACTATTAAAAAATTTAAAATACTCAGACAAGAGAAACTTAAACACAAACTCAAAAAACACTCTATAAAACAAAGGAAACCTAATCACACTACCCCATATATTGGAAATATTAGCATACCTCCATCAAGAATTTGGAAAAGACTGGCACATAAATATAACCTTAACATAACACCTAGATTCCTTTTCACCTCTGGAATGAAAATAAACACGTTAATAAAAATTATATAACAAACCCATCCCATCAGGAAACATTTATAGAATAAAGTGTAACAATTGGCCAGCCTTTTACATAGTTGGAACAGGATGTAACTTGAAGATCAGTTTAAAAGAACACCAAAATCCCCCTTCCCAATTCCATGAACAAAAACAATTACAGTTTTTGGATTAGAATGTTTCCATACTAAAACAAAACATTAACAGAAGAAAAATCATAGAAGCCTTATTAATAAAATCAACAATCTCACAATTGACAAATACCTAGGCACATCTCTATAAGACTTTGATCATTATTTCCCTAGACAGTCCTAATCTTATGCAAATTCCTTTTTTTAATTCATTTTTTGTTAATTTCTTTCTGTTCAGCTATAAATAAATAACTAATCTGTCAATTCACATGGATTGATATGTACATGCGTAAGTAACCGCTATCAATTCTAAAAATAAATACATTTTTAGATTGTTGAATGTTGATTTAAGTACTAAAACCTTCTTTACTGTTGAGATTTGTGTACTTAAGAATTATCGCACCAGCAATCAAAACATCATACCTGTTCTAAAAAATCTTCTTTACTGTAAAAGCTGTAACTTGCAGTAAAATAATAAAGATATTTAGTTTTGACAAAACTACAAATGAGAGCAAAATATCATTAGAAATATGGGTTCTATGTGATAAATTTATATATTAAAAAGAATTACAATTTCAAAAATATTGCAAATGTTTCTATGAAACTCTGCCAACTAAGATGAAAACTTGATGTCCGAAAAATTAATAAGATTGAGCAGAAACCAAAGACTACTTGAGAATTGTAACTGTGGAATAAGCACCTATTTAAAATTAGTTTAAGTGAAATCTTTGGTGGTATCCGAGTGGGATGTTTTGAAACAAATAGCAAAATAAAGAGAACTACTATAATTTTAGAAACCTTTTTTTATTGTTAGACTTTGAATTCCTACAATAGCTAATAGCCTGAGTCCTTTTCCAAAAAAATACCTTAATAAAATATTAAAACATTAGTATATGCCACCAATATGTTGTTTCAACAAAATGTGCTAAATCTAGATTAAATGAACAAAAGATTATAATAAACTGTATTTTTCCAGAATTGTGATGAAACTTAAGAATCTTAAATTCCAAGAAGGGCTTTGATGGAAATTATTTCCTAGGAAGACAGAGAATCTATCATTTTGGGCATCTTACTGAAAATATTTGCGGTATTTGTTTTTTTGGTGAGAAAACTATATTAATACTAATAATAAACAAATTTAAATAATGAGAAAACTACATTATAAAAAAAATAACTTCTCTTTTCCAAACATCCCAACAAGGGTTTAAAATCCTTAATTTTCTTAAGCCTGAAAATCATTTTCAAGAACTCAAAACATATTACTAGAAGAAAAAATACAGCAAAAGTTCAAAATTCAACACGTTTACGGAGTTCAACGTATAGCACAATAACATCTATAATACAAAAAATTCAAGCACTTTGGACCTAAAACAACATTACTGACATCACAATGATTTAATAACTTACTCCATGGCCTCCTGAAGGCTGAGCTGGGTATGGAGTAGTAGAACTGTACAAGTTAGCAGGAGGCTGCTGACCTGGTGGGTAACCACTTCCATAGCTCAAGGTTTGTGGGAGATGGCCTCCTGGTGACGAAGGATAGCTTGCTCCAGAAGGCGAAGGATAGGTTCCTCCTGTTGGAGGAGGATAAACTGCTACAGAAGAAGGTAGATAGCCTCCTTGTGTTGGAGGAGAAGGATAACCTTCTCCAGATGGAGGGGAAGAAAATCTTCCTCCTGTTGGAGAAGCATAACTTGCTCCAGAGGGTGGAAGATAACTGCTTCCTGTTGAAGGAGAAAAACCTTGGCCAGTTAGTGAGGAATAAGCTACTCCTGATGAAAGAGGATAACCTGCTCCAGAAGAAGGTGGAGGGTAGCTACTTCCTGTTGAAGAAGGATAACCTACTCCAGAAGGTGGGGGATAGCTTCCACCTGAAGAAGGAATGGTATAACCTCCCTGCAATGTGGGTTGAGGATAACCTGGTACTGATGAAGACAGGGGATAACTTCCTCCTGTTGACTGAGGAGGATACCCACCTCCTGGTGGTGGAGGATAAGTTCCCCCTGCATGTGGGAGATAGCCTCCTGCTGAAGAAGGATATCCTTGCTGTGGAGGATTGTTTATATTGAAACCAATAGGAGCCTGTTGGTTTCCTTGACTACCTGGATAAGGTGGATAAGTGGGTACCTGTAAAATAATAATTACAATTTTATACTTGGATGTGGATAATATAATAGATAATTTCAGCAACTGTATTAAATATTTAAACTTCATGTTAAGTTCTGATCAATAACATCCTCCAAAATCCTCTTAAATATGCTTCCAAAAGAAAAATATAGCATGGTAAATCAATATTTGTTTAATGCTTATTAAATTGCAAGCTATAACAAACTGATTAATTGTATATAAGGTAATGTATAGATCCTTACAATTTGTGATGCAGATTGATAATACTGTTTCATTACTTCACTTTAATTTTTAAAAGCACAATTAAGTGTGGACCATGCAAAAGATGCTTTTTAAATAGGACAGCTTGAGCTTATATCTTAAATAGACTTGTATATGGCATATCACAGACTAGGCCTAGTACAGTTTACAGGCAGCATAAACAATCAGCACTCAGTTGTGTGAACACTCACCAGTCACCATCAACAAATAGTGCTTCAGAAAATGTTCTTCTGTAAGGAGTAATCACTCCCAGAATTCTGTCAGCAGAAGTAATTTTAATTCTTTTTTTTTTTACAAAGTGCAGCAGTAACATTTTGTGATAAAAAAGTAATTTAAGTAGTTATGAAATATTTTATTATTTCAAAAGGTGGAATTTGGCATAGTATAAATCTAGCAAATTAAATCACCACAAGTAGTCATAATAATAACAAATAATGACATTACAACTTTTTCTTATATTTATTTAACATTAAAATTGGATCATTAACGAGAGTACCAACAGAAACTTCTGGGGGTTAGACAGCACTTATTTTTGCAGCTCTACAATGTGAACTGTGCAGATCTTGTGTAAAACTGCAGAAAGCTACAATTAATTACTGTAGTACCATAAAAGTGGCAAGAGCCATATTCATTTTTCCACATCAGTAAAACAACTTCTCATTATTTGTTAAGGTCATAAATGGCTGATTTTTGATTGGGAATTATGCCAGTATGCCCCTTATCTGGAGCACTAAACAGATATATAGTAAAAAGAAATTCTAATAACTTTTGAAAATAGTTCTTTCTGCTCTTACTAGTTGACATCAGCATATACTCAGTCAACAGTGAACAAATGATAATTTCTGTGACCACACCTAGGCCTACAGGAATAGTCTGACAGTTCCCAAATTTCTAAGTTTTCTTACACATTAGATAAAAAGAGGTACAGTCAGTATTGCAGTTTCATGTTCATCGATTGAAATCACTGTGAAGCAACTATGGTATTCTAAGGCACACTGATTATCTGCTGCAAACAGCTGAAAGTCTGACCAAAAAAAAAAAAAGATTAAGAGTTAAAAGTGAGTTGCAAAATACAATGTTGATCAAAGTAAAATTAATCTTTATTTGCAACAACAACTCAGAAATAGGCAAGTGCATAAGACACAAGATGGTGCTTCTAAAAATTTTGATGATGAAAATGATCAAGAAAATTCTGTAAAGCTTTGAAGATGTTGAGAAGAAAATCTATAAAGATCTCAAAGATGAAGAAAGAGGATTCTCTAGGCTGAGTAAGCATGAGACATTATATGCATAGAAACAATATCTTTCTCACAGCACAGATGCAACCCACACCATCAGTTGTCTTAAGCAAAAAGTTCAACTTCTAAACATTTCTAAACTTAAATACAGTGATGTTGCTTAAAAAACTAAAAAGAGATCTCTATCAAAATCATCTGTCACCTGTAAAAAACATCTAAAAATACCCAAGTGCGAGACTCATGTTGACCATGTTTAACTGGCATGAAACTAAGGTCAGTATTTCACATGACAGATTTCCTGTAAATGAAAGTCTACAAGCTCTCTTCAAGTGCAAATATAAGAAAAACGTTTGAAGATTCTGGTAAACTAATAGTTTACCTTTCTCAGCTAAAAGAAAAGCAAAAGTTTGTAACTCCAGGTGCAATACTCAATTCAAAATATATTGTAAGAATGAAGCTTTATTGAGAAGTACTTTCTACCAAAAAAAGAAACAACAACAAACACTGAAGACTTTTAACTGTAAATACTGAATGAAAATCTATGCACTTATTGTTCCCACAGTGATCAACTTCTAATTTGATATCAATCACCAACCTCTCTACTAAAAGAGGAATTCAAAGTAGATGATTGTAAAGTGGCAGAAGCATACATATACACTAAGCCTTTGGCATAACGGCTGAAATAACCTATGTAATGATCCATTTGTAAACTCCAATCATGTTTTAAACTTTTAATCACACATTTAACTTCTTTACAAGCTAGAGAATATAAAATAATTTTGTCTTGATATTTAAAATATTCACAAACACAATTTTCAAAATTTAATGCACATTCTCAAAATATTTCAGATATTTAAGTGAAATGTTTATTAAAACTTAGTAGCTATAAGAACATTATTTATAATTTCATTATTTTTGATATTTTATTTGGCAGAACATTCTATTCTTTACTTCTCTACAATTATACCATTCACATTACTAAACTGCTTTCTTATACCTCCATTACATGGATAAAGTGGCTTCAGGAAATGGCCAAAAAAAAAAACAAATCATCATGTACTATAGTGGTGTTAAGTGAGAAACATTCCAGTTCATTTTATGACTCATTATGGGATTTGTTGCTTTAAAGTACTGTGACTACTCTCTTTTCCTAATATTTAGATCATTTTCCAAATTTTAAAACAGTTCTTAAACACCAGTGCAATCTTTAAACAACAAACTACATCATAAAATCCATGACATATTCCAACGTCATTTTGCTTATAAAGTGTTCACCATCATAAGATACATGACATATTCAAACATCATTTTGCTTATAAAGTGTTCACCATCATAAGATCCATGACATATTCAAATGTCATTTTGCTTATAAATTAATTTATAATTGCCTTTAATATTTTTTGGATAAAACACCATTTTCAAGTAACATGTCAAGATGATTTTTACCACAGTAATGTTTGTAAAACATTTTTTCTTGTTAATATTTGACATAGCTAATGTGCAAGTTAGCATATCCATCAAATATGGTGTTACATTCATTAAATGCAAGAAATCAAGCAACTGAACATAGTATTATCTTATAGCCAATCACATACTCACACACTCTGATGTTTATTTTTTATCCAATTGGTTCAAGTCACATGTTTACTTTGTCAAAGAACATTTACCACAATAATGTCTATACACCTTAAAAGAAACCTTTCATTCTGGCAATCAGTACACAGTTACCTAGTTCATAATACTGAAAGAATTTATATGTGCTGTTTGTCATCAAGAGCAACTGTCAAGAGTAGAAGATCAGTGTCTAGACCTCATAATGCAGATGTGAGAACAGGGTAACCAGCAGTATTTTCAGTATAAATTATCTGTTGCATATCATGCTGCAGACACTGTAGCTGACAACCATATGGATACAATTGACCCTGCTTATGTCTTCATTTCCAAGTCACAGTGAGTTAAACTAAGCATTAGAACAATAGGCAGAAGTTAACTGTATTGTATCACTTAAGCATAGGAACTTAACTGTTGTTACAGCTGAAGCCAAATATTTGTAAATCAGCATATTAATATTCTTGCTGAAGAAATTTTTTGCCATAGATACCTTAAATGAAAAAATATTTTTGAACAGACTCTACTCAACAAATTGAAGGTCAGCTGAAGAAACATACACATATTTCAACCTGAATTATATCATGCATCTAATGGAAAGCACTAGAACAGATACACAGAGATTGGTAAGAATACTTTGATTAGCTACAAAAACTTAAGAGGTGAGGAATGTCGTACTTCAATCTTACACTACTATAAAGATTACAGTTTGATGTCTAAACATCCAGGCTTCTACCACCGAGTTATTAATATGAGATCTACACACACATGCTTAATCTTTCTACTGGTTAAGCCTTTTACTGGCTTTTCAAATAATATTTTGTTAACTCTTTTGGATTCAAATGATTCCCTTGCCATAAAAAGATCAATCTACTTGGCTTGTACAACATTGGTCAGGAGTGTCTATAAGTGAATGCAGTAATTAGTGTTGTGTAAACCAATCAATCAAAATTATGATTATATTTGCTGTCCCAAATAAACAACATGAGGGTTTCCGATTACTCCAACTATTCAAGTAATCGAAATACTGCCATCAAACTTGCTGGCCCCATCTTTGTAATGGCAAAGCTACTAAGTCTATCTTACATTGTTGCAATTTTTGAATTGTTGACTATAGGGAAGGCAACTGAATGTAATCAATTAATAGAGCTAAGTTTAGGGAGTTGGAAAGTGTTTCAGAAGTTGATGCATTATCATAGAGACCTTTGAATGAAGTGATCTGGTTATAAAGTCACTTCACTGTAAATACCAGTCTAAGAAATCACAAGTACTTACATACTATTGTACTGTAGAAGTCATTGAGAAATGATCCCGTAGCAAAATATTGTCTCAAAAAACATATGGATCCACAGTAGCATACTTAATAACTGTGTGTGATGATGTTTTGGGGAAAGTGTTTGAACTGTGCCAGATTTTTCTGAGAAGTAATCTAACTACCACTGAAGTGTATCACTATAAAAAGGCCAAGACTGCTAAATTTCAAGCCTATTATCTTGGAGGAAATATTCATTGTAGTGAGAAAGTGAAGCAACAAATTGCATCTCTTGCTAATACCATCAATACAACAGGTGTTCTTCATTTCATTCCAAAGCTCTGATAACACATAGGTTCTCAATTTTTGAGAATGAGCTGTAAGAGTGGTCTGCATTTGATACTGAAGCACTTGTTTCTGCTAAATGTGATTGTAGCATAAAAAGCACTCACATGTACCAAGCTGATGTATCAATAAATAACAGTACACAGACCATAACTTCAATATTCTGGAGAAAAAAAATTAAGGCCGGTATATCTTACCAACATGGTAATTTACACATTGAAAGAATAGCACTTTACAGACCTGGTTCAGTTTGTTGATATATGTGTCAACCTTTCAAGTCTAGTGTTGACTGTGAA